TTACGTCTTTCCATTACTTTTTAAAGTTTCTCTGTCAATGAGCCTTCTTTTATCTGTTAAAGTTTCTTTTTGGAGGGATACGCAGCAGTACTAATTTGAACAAATTATGTGGTTATGTAATTGATTCTATTCACTATACATTCTTTGAATCCAATAATCAAGGCTATAATAGTGATAGCTCAAAACAGATGTGAGAATACATGTTTTGCTTACAGGGCCTTAAATTATACTGCAAAATTGTATTTTGATATTTGTAAAACACACTTCATCCATCCCAAATCCTTTAGTTTTCCAATTGCATTCTTCACACCTGGTGTAAACTGGTTTGGATGTTGACAGAGGTTGTCAGCATCTCCTATGTGTACAATGTTGTTTTACATTTTGTATGTTCGGTATTTCAAAATTGATTCTCTAGCATAAAGCCTTTGGACCTATTAGCTTATTTTGCTAAATTGCAGTATATTAAGGATTTGTAGTAGCTACGGAACTGAAAGATGTGTTTTTCATAGAGATATCAAGCCCTCCAACATTCTTCTTTCTTCCAAGAAAACGCCCAAGGTAAGGATCTTGGTCCTTAATTCGAGTTGAAAACGGATAGAAGTCGTCGTTTTGCAATTGGATTATGTGATATCTGCAATTGTAATGGTTGCAGTTGTGTGATTTTGGATTACCAACTTGGACATCCGCACCTTCAATTCCATTCCTTTGCAAAATTGTTAAAGGAGCATTTGGGTATGCTGTCAACAACATTGTCCTATAGAAAGCTAAAGGATACTTTTTCGTTTTATTTTGCTTCATGAAATACTCGGTAAAGATTTGTCTTTTTCTCTCTCATATTTTAGGTATGTAGGTACTTGGCACCCGAGTATTTCCAACATGGAAAAGTGCATGATAAAATTGATGTTTATGCTTTCGAGGTTATCTTGTTGGAGCTGATAACCGGACGGAAACCAATCGAGGCAAGACGGCCTCCAGGTTATTGTTTAATTTCTACTTTGCACCAAGTTTGTGAAAGTTGAAAGAATGGTTCACCGTAACAGCTTCCCCGGAGGCAAAAGAGGGGTCCGATCTTTACATTCGAACTTAGAGTGGTGAAAATACTTTACTTGTTATGGATGATGATCATTTGATAATGAAATTTTGTTTAATTGATTTTATTGTAAATTTAGTGTTTTCAAGTGTAATAAAATTAACTTCATTTATAATTTTTTTTTGTTTTAGTATTTGTAATGTTATTCAAGTTTCAAATCTTTAATAAGTTCATCATTTAAATTAATATATTTTTATTTTAAAATTTCAAGTTAAGTTATACTTAAATTATTAATCAATTTTCACATTAAAAGTAAATTAGATTTATGAATATTTTAACTCAATTTATATAATTTAATAAAATCATGTTCAATAAAACAATATTTAAATTTAATTTAATGATTATAAATAAAATTTATAATATAAGAATTATAAATAATATAAAGAATTGAAATTAATATAAAAATCAAATTTATAATATACAAATTATAATTAATATAAAAATTAAATTTCAAAAAGTAATCATATTAATTTAATTATCATAAGTTTATTATAAATTTAAAATAACATAATTATATTAATTGTAACATATTACTTATAAGTCAGAACGATATCAAATCACTTTAACATGTCAGATCATTTACATGTTGAGTCAATTACAGCTCAGGTTGAAAACAGGTCGGGTAATACCAGTTATTTACCATGTCAATCTCGAGTTCGGGTTCATATTAATCGGATGCAGTTCGGGTTCGGATATCATATTTTCGGTTCAATTCGGGTTCAGGTCGTTCTCTGGTCGGGTGCAGGTCAGGTTCAGATCCACAATTTTCAGGTCCAACTCGGGTTCAGGTTAACACCAGTTCTGATTTGAGTTCGTTTCAGATCGTCACAACGTAGGTCAAAAACAATTTTAACTCGAATCGATTTCAGTCAAATTTTACAGATAGGTCGAGTCACCTTTTTACACACTTAACTATAACCAGCTCTCTCGTTAACCGATAAACCACGACCGCTATCCCAAAGTTATCGTTTTCCCCTTCCAATTCAAGGCCCATTCTTTCTTCCTCTTCACCTTCAACAGCCTCTATCCCTTAGCAACCTCTTCCACCATCTCCACCAATTTCTCGGGTGACTCTCTCGATACAAAGTGCTCGCGGTCACTGATCAGCTCATGCGATTCCTGGAACAAACCAGACAGGTCCAAACTCGATGAGAATGATAACAAATCGAATGCATTCAAGTTTGAAACCTGTGGTAACTCATCGTTGCCATGCTCCTCGTGGAGCTTGAGCTCCTTGTAAACACCCTTCCTGAACCACGGATCATTGAGAATCTCATGAATCGTAATTCTCGTAGCGGGATTCATGTCCAGAAGCCGAGACAGGAAGCGTTTGTGATCGCTCGACATCCATTTGGGACAACTATACTCACCTTTGTAAATCTTCTTGTACATAACCATAATATTTGGGTCATTGAAAGACAAGTAGCCTGCGTTTAGGACGTAGAGGAAGATACCGCGTGACCACAGGTCCATCTTAGCTCCATCGTAACCTTTTTTGCCAATATCTCTGGTGCCACGTATGCCGGGGTCCCACACAAGGTGTGCAACTGCCCGTCGAGTCGGATCTGGTCGGTTACGGCGCTGAGACCGAAATTCAACACCTTTAAATTCCCGCTCTCGTCGAGGAGGAGGAGGTTTTCAGGTTTCAAGTCACGGAGGAACACCGCGCGGGTGTAGAAGTAACCAACCCCCGAGATGAGCTGCTGGAAATATTTGCGGCTGAGATCTTCCGTGAACCTTCCTTTAGAAAACTTAGCGAACAATTCTCCACCTTTGACGAGTTCCATCACGAAATAGATCTTAGTTTTAGAAGCCAATACCTCGAAGAGTTTGACGATGTAAGGGTGGTTCAAGCGACTCATGATGGAGATCTCGCGCTTGACGTTAGACATCAAGTTGATATTGGAAAGCTTCTTTTTGTTGATGACCTTAATGGCCACGCTCTCTCCAGTGCGTACGTTACGGGCATGATAAACCTTGGCGAAGGCGCCGCAACCCAGGAGCCTGCCGAGCTCGTATTTGCCGAACAGGGCGTTTTCCAGTACATGTTCGATATCTGGTATAGATGGTGAAGCCAGATACTAAAGCGGATGGGAAGAATTTCTTCAGCAAATAAAGAAATTAAAAAAAAAAGATTGCTACGAAATTCGGAAGCAGTAAACGAAGATTAATTGATGTAGTAACCTTAGGAGTTAGGACCACGAGACACGAGAAGCGAAGGAGAATATCTGTGTGTAGTTGAATAGTTGTACCTTTATATGCTATACAATAACGATGTGTGTGTGTTTTTCTTCTTGAAAATATATAAATTTTCTCGTGTTTGAATAATTTAATATAAAATATTACTAACAACCGATTGGTTTAGTGGGAGTAAATATTAAATCCCTCAAGTAAAGAGATTCAAATTCTGGTGTTTGTGAATGGAGGAAGTTAGGTTGAGAAGATTTCCCTTACCTCTGTATTAGTTTGTCAATAGATTAAATATATTTTATATATAATATAAAAATTATTTATTTATTTAATAGTTTAAATAAAGATTAATTTCATCTATTCAAATATAAATACAAAAATGATCGAAATACTATCGCTATATATTAAATACAGCTATATTTCAAGATTTCAAACTCACGGATTTAATTAAGCTATAACAATAATATGTCATTAGATTCAAACTATTACTTCCTTTGTCCTTATTTTTGTGTTAGGGATTAGGGTTCAGGGTTTATGATTTAAGATAAGAGAATTTTACTCATAATGAATATTGAACCCACAACTTAAAAGAGAGAAGAGATATAAATTAAAAACTTTTAACTATTTGTTCTAAAGATTATTGAAGGGACTATATTTATTAATAGTAAATGGATATGGTCCTAACAATTTTTGGTAATTTTCGTTGTTCTTGATTCATTTTATTAATGGAAGTTTAATCCTTAAAACATATAGTATATGGATATGTTTTAACTCAGAAACGTATTTAAATTAGCCACAAATAAAACTACAGGTAGGGTGATGTTAAGAAAATTAATTTTTACAGCTTGGAATGGCAGAAGGTCACATAGAAATCGGTAACCAATTTAATTGTTAATTGTGTTATTTGAGGATGTATTAACTATCTAGCCAAAGAAGAATGGGGTGTTAAATAGAGTGGAGTTGGAGGAAAGAATTCAAGTAGTGTGAACTAATTTTTTTATATGTAAAATACACAATTTTATAATAATATTTTTTTCATATTTGTGAATAAAAATATATAATCTACGTGTAACTAAAACTGTCTTTTATTAATTTTTTTCTGATTACTTTTTCAATTTTGACTATTTATTATTTAAAATTTACGATTGATAAAATTATGTAAAAATATATTTTAAAAATCTTCGAATTGAAATATATATTTTATAAAATTTAATTTTTAAAAATATTCAAAATAATTGTGGTGAAAGTTTATATATAACTCAATAAATAATTACGGATAGAGTGAAAAAAAATCTTTATAATAATATTAATTTAGTATAATAGTTACTATTAAAAGAAAAATATTTATGTATAAGATTAATTACCATGTAAATAAAATTACTTTTTATAATAATTATTACCATATAAAAAGAGATATTTGATCATGTTCGATTAACCTGTGAACTGATATGGAAGATAGAGAGATATGTAACAAACTTTTTCGACTGTGGACCTGCGGTGGGAAGTTTTTTTTTTTTTTTTTTGGGAGGGATGAGGGGAATCTGGAAAGTGATAATGCTTACTTAATGTTTTCTGTTCTGGAGCGACAAAAAACGCTCAATTCATTCTTCATCTTGCTTCATCCCTCGATTCCTTCGCTACCGTAGGTCCGCAACCTCTCTACATAAGGATAAGCACTTATCATCTCAGTTCATCATAAGCTGTTTTCTTTTAGCTAGCCATGGAGAACGTTACTTCTGCATTGTGGAATTCTTCCCTCCACCAGCTGAGCAATGTTTCCTCACCCTTTGTTACTGCTTTCCTGCAGTTTTCAGCCACACTTGTTGTCCTGGCTTTCGCTTTGTTTTACCTCCACAAGTTCCTGTTTGTGGACAAGGGGAGAGACATGCAACCCCGTCTTCCGCCTCTCCTTGTCAAACCTTGGCCTATTGTGGGAAGCCTCCCTGAAATGGTCCGGAACAGGCCGACGTTCAGGTGGATACACCAGCTGATGAAAGATGCCAACACTGAGATTGGGTATATCCGCTTTGGGAACGTGCATGTAATTACCGTCACTTGTCCTGAAATCGCCCGTCAATTCCTGAAAGAGAAGGACGCTGTTTTTGCGTCAAGACCAACTATCATGGCCGCGGACTTAACCACCAAAGGCTTCTTAACAACAGCTCTTGTTCCCATGGGAGATCAGTGGAAGAAGATGAGGAAGGTGCTGGTCAATGAAATGCTTGCCCCAATCCGACATCGGTGGCTCCAGGAGAAAAGAGATGAAGAAGCTGATAACCTTGTGCGTTACGTGTATAACCTGTGCGTATCTGCAGGCGGGCTGGTAAACGTGAGGGTGGCATCACAGCAGTATTGCGGGAATGTACCTAGAAATATTCTTTTCAGCAGGAGGTACTTCGGGGAGGGTAAGGAGGATGGTGGGCCAGGGTTTGAAGAAGAAGAGCATGTTAGTGCCGTTTTCACTATTCTTGCCTATCTTTACTCGTTTTGTGTCTCTGATTACATGCCAAGGTTGAGAAGGCTTGATCTGGATGGCCATGAGAAAGTCATGAAGGAGGCTCTAAGGATTATCGGAAAATACCACGATCCCATAATCGATGAGAGAATTCAACAGTGGAAAAATGGTGAGAAGACTGAGGAAAAGAAAGCGGACGACTTGCTTGATGTTTTGATCTCTTTGAAAGATAAGAAGGGTGGCATCCTCCTCACACCGGATGAGATCAAAGCTCAACTAACTGTAAGCTACCTTTCTCTCTATATTATCTATCCTCCACACGCGTTATGCACACAAGTTTCATCATTCTTTCTCAGTCAAATAAAACTTAAGGTTAAATTTGAGTTTTGTAGGAATTTATGATTGCAACGGTGGATAATCCGTCGAACGCGGTGGAATGGGCTCTAGCTGAGATGCTGAACCAGCCCGAGATACTAGAGAAAGCTGCGGAGGAAATCGATAGGGTTGTTGGAAGGGAGAGGCTAGTGGAAGAAACTGATTTCCCCAAACTCAACTATGTCAAGGCATGCGCCAGAGAAGCCTTTAGGCTCCACCCGATTGCACCGTTCAATGTCCCTCATGTGTCCCTGGAGGATACGACCGTTGCTGGTTACTTCATCCCCAAAGGAAGTCATGTGCTTCTCAGCCGCACCGCTCTGGGTCGGAACCCTAAAGTCTGGGAAGATCCACTCAAGTTCAAGCCAGAGCGGCACCTCATGGATAAGGAGGATGGTGTTTCACTGACGCTGACTGAAGCAGACCTGCGCTTCATCTCCTTCAGCACTGGCATGCGTGGGTGCAAGGGCATCTTGCTCGGGAGCTCAATGACCTTCATGGTCTTTGCAAGGCTGCTGCAGTGTTTCAGTTGGAGCATCCCGCCAGCTAATGGGCCGACCATCGACCTGACCGAGGCCAAGGACAGTCTGTTTATTGCGAATCCGCTGGTTGCAGTTGCGAAGCCCAGGCTTCCCCCTAATATGTATCCCGTCCACCTCGCTTAGTTCACCTTTTATCAACGTTCGTTTAGGCTGTTAAAGCTTTTAATAATCGAGTCTATCAGAACAATATATAGTATGTGTGTATCAAGAACAAAGCATGCATGTTGCACTGCACTGCTTCCAACTATGTTATGCTTTTATCAATATATAAGTATGTAAAAGGCGGATGAGTTGACGTCCCCATCAGTTGTACTTGCTATGCTTTTAAAATGGCTAAACTCTCGAGATAATGTTCTCGAATAAATTAATTCACGAGATAATGCACTCCTCAGATTAATTGCTCAAATAGGGTGAAATCTACAGTGTTGGTCGTAGGTCGCCATGTCTTCCCGGCGAGCTATGAGAGAGATTGCATGTGTCATGCACGTTCCAACACGTTGGGCATCCGAAGGCATCCGATCGAGGGCATCCGACCGATGCCATTCGAACGAGCTATGTGAGGGCATCCGAGGGCAAGAGGAATCACGCGAGGAGCAGGAGGAGTGCATGGCGACCTACAAGGTCGCCAGGAGTGCATGGCGACCGCCGTAGGTCGCCCGGAAGGCATGGCGACCTACGGCCAACACTGTGCAATTCACCCTATTTGAGCAATTAATCTTGGGAGTACGTTATATCGTTAAATAAAATTTTCGAGAACATTATCTCGAAAATTTTGCCCTTTTAAAATAGTCAATGTATGAATAAAATGAGTTGACAATCCTCATCAATTTTATTAGCTTCTATTTTTTGCTTAGTTCATGTTATTATTAAATTTTCCAACCCTGACTAATTTCAATTTATCCAAGAAGACCATAATTACTGAAATATTTAAGCAGCCAAAACAACACGAATTAGAAAACCGTTTCACATGCATGTACCTTGCCAAGATCTCAGTTACATCCACTTGAAAACAAAAGAACAAAATGACCCAACGTTGCAAAACGCATGTAAGAAAGAAGACCGAAAACACTCCTTGCTCCTAGTTTCGCAAAATCGTCAGCTTCTGCGTTGATGGCTCTAGGGCTGTGCAGCAGAGACCGCTCTGCAGCAGTTTATATTCTTATGAAAGCACTATGATCTCCTTGATCCTTTTTAACGAACCATTTCCATCAAAATGTTGTAGCTTGCTCGAGTTTTTTATGAATTGGCTGCAGATTTTACTTTTGATTTTGCATGCAGTGTATAAGGGTTGTAGCTCTAAACGCTCGGTGATGCCGATGTTGATGGGATCATTTTGAAAAGTGGATATTGATTGGCTGCATGCAAAAGTGCAAGTCAATGCAAAGCAACATAGTAAATTAATAATAATAATAATAGGGATAGGATTCAGTTAGACAATATAAAATTATTTAGTTTTACACATATTTATGATCGCTGTAAGAGTGGAAATAGATGATCGAGCTTGATTTCTTTTTTTTCTAGTAAATATATTCTCATTTCATACCGTTAATCTCAGCCATCTATTTTCACTCATTCAACGGTCCTAAATATGTGTAAAATTAAAAGAGTTTTACATTGTGTAACAAAATCTTATCTCATAATAATAATAATAATAATAAAACCATATAATTAAATACAAGGCATAATGTCAAAAACATCGTCCAATTTTTATCAAAATGATCATTTTGGCTTCTATTCTTTTTTAGCATTTTAGCCCCCAACGTTTCACTTTAGTACAAAAAACTCCCTCTATAGATGAAAATCATTAGTTAACATATGCTTATCGCTCCAAAATAATGACCTTTTTTAACCTAAAATGAAAAGCTGATGGCTAAAATGCCTAAAAAAAATAAGAGACAATGATTTTTTTTGTCAAATATTAGAGGTATTTTTTTTCCTAAAATGAAACTTTAGATGTCAAATACTCTAAAAAAATATAATATGAGATAAAATAATAATTTTAATAAATATTAGAGATTAATTTTAACATCATGCCTAAATACAACTACACAAGATTCCATAAAAACAAGTCTATCATCACAAATCGCATCATCAAAATATGATAAAACTATAGATGATTTCTTTTAGAGAGACAAGTCATTGTTAATATAGGTGTTTATAGTCCGGCCTTATCTCGAATTTGAAAAATGTTCGAATAACCCATTTATTATATGTCTTAAATATGATTTATTATACACAAATTCACATAATTTTAAATATTATATATTTATAACGACTTAAAGAATTTTTTTTATTGAATATGAAAATGGGGTAGCTTTCCACCACCAAGGAGAAAGAAAAATAAAGTAGTGGATAGAATAGGATGGAAAGCAAACAAGGAAGCCAGTAAGCCCAAACTGAGCATGTAAACTAACGGGTTTACAGGGATCAGTCCACTACAAAACAAGCCAGCTAACCATATGTAAATTGTTATGTATGGGAATGGGCCTATGGGCCATTACAAGCTGCATGCCAGTGAAGTGTAAGACTGGCAGCAATATTAAATTGGATTTGCTAGAGACGATGAGCGTTGACATCGCATTGCTACTGAGTTGCTGCCCGGCTGGCTAGAACGGAGTAAGAAGAGGTTTAATCAAAGGGAAACAAAAGAAGAAAAATAGATGTAGTCTTTGGGGATTGGGAGTAGAAAGAGAGATTTGGGACTTGAAAGATTGAAGCCAGCAGGAACAGAAAAAGTATAGTAGAGGTAGATGGATTGAGCAAATAAGTCGGAACAGGGAATGGCTTACAGGAGGAGGCAGCAGCAGGGGGGAATATTGCCTTCAGCACCTGCAACGGATGATTTGGTAGACGTAGAAGTGGATACAGCCAAAGCCATTAGGGGATCTTCCGCCCGCTTAGGTTCTTCTCTCTCCGCCGCTTACGGCTATAGTTCCCTTCATTCCTCGTCTGCTGCTCTATCCACGCCCACGCCCACGCCCACTTCCACCGCCACCCCCACCCCCAAGGTTCTTTTAATATTTCTGTTTGATCTACGTTTTGTCGGTTCTTTTTGCAATCTTTTTCCTCAAAAAACCCCAAACTTCTCTAACGGAACACGTTTCTGACTCCAGGAATCCGAGCCTCATCAATATGCCTCATTGAAAAATTTAGATGAATCCAAGCAAGGGTTTTGGGGTTCTCTTGCTAGGAAAGCTAAAGCCTTTTTGGATGACGATAATGAGCACCGCCAATTTGAGCCAGGTGGACAAGCTAAATCGGAGCAGCATCAAGGGCCAACCCCGGATAAAGTCAGAATCCAACACACCAGTACTATATACTAATAAAGAGCATCGGCTTCATGATACACTTTATTTCCTTTTCCATTCCAAGTTCCTGCGGCTATTTTGCTTTGGATTTTCTTTTTTCCTGATATAATCACTTGTTCAAGTGTGCGAGAACATAGACGGAAATGCTTCTTTACTCGTTCATTTATGAGTTTTGGTCTGACCTATATTTGAATATTTGTGTTCACTCTCTGCTATCTGCAGTACCGTAATGTATACCAGTTACATGATAGGCATAACAAAACAGACAATCCCACTTTGCAGAAGGGCCTAGGTGCAATTGCCTCAACCCTAAATTACCTTGGAAAATCTGTTGAGGTCAGTTCATAAATTCTCTTACTTTTTTGTTGGTAAATAAATATATAAATGTTCCTGGTATCAGTTAGCTTGCTTTTATAAACTGTTTGTTTATAATTAGAAAGGGAAAAAAGAAAAATAAATGAAGGACACTTTCTATTTATTCAAACTATTTCTTGCAACTTATATTTTTTTTGGTAACCAAACGTTTACCACTTGTCAATCTATTTGTCATACAACTATCATGTCTCTCTTGTACTTCTGAAATTGTTTACAATCCTGTAGTTATTCATTCTTCTTTGATTTGCATTCAGGAGGGTCTTACGATTGTGGAGAATCGGACAGCAGGCATCATTCAGGAAACCCGCAAACATATCAGGAAAAAGCATAGTGGTTCTATGGCACCGAATCACGCTGCTAAACAACCACAAATGCAGCACCAAGCACGAACATCCTTGCAAGCTGATCTGGAAATTCAATTGAAGGCATCTCGCGACGTAAGGTGGCCGCTTTGTGTCACTGGTTCATATGATGGATATATTTTGCTGAGTGCAATACCTGTAACCTGTGGTTTTCTAGCTCTAGAAGTCTGATTTCAGGTTTTTTTTAGCAATATAAAAGTAACAATGGTTTGAACATGCTAAGAATATAAGATTGCTTTTCTTCCTTATTTCTTATATTTGATGTATCCCTCTGTTATTGATGTCTTTAAACCTTTTTTAAAGTTATTCATAAGTTCAGTGGCATATATGTAAGAGCAAGAACAATATAAAATTAAATAGTATTCATCATGTGGAAGACAGGTTGTTTTATAGATGTGAAATAAGTTGCATAAATCCCTTTTTTTTTGTAATTACTTTATTGTGAAAATTGGATGCATGATTTGGCAATTCAATTTTTTTAACAGGTTGCGATGGCTATGGCTGCCAAGGCAAAGCTGCTTCTCCGAGAGCTAAAAACTGTCAAAGCTGATTTGGCTTTTGCAAAGGAGAGGTGCGCTCAGCTGGAGGAAGAAAATAGAATCCTTCGAGAGAATCATGAAAGGGGAGATAACCCAGATGACGATGAGTTGGTATGCAGTTCTATCATTTTATCCTTTGCTATATTTACTCACCTGAATGATCTGGATGTCTTTTTTGTTTGAAACATAGTTCAAATTTACTCCTTGTATGGACCAATCGCCCACTCATTTTTGATCGAGTGCATTTTTGACATCTTAATATTAGTTTGATTTAAAAATATCCAGAAATTAATTGTTCATACTATCATATGAAATACTCCTGTTAAACTTCTACCATTTTTGAACAAAAATACAGAAAAAAAGGTAGTTAAAACCAAACTTGATATTCTGTAACAATTAGATGTCGGAAATGATAGAGGCTGATGCATGAAGCATTTTCAAGTATCTTCCTCCCCACTGGATGAGGGGAAAGTATATTAGGAATAAAATGAAGGATATTCCAATCAGAGCTTCCTGTAGATTACAATGTTACATAATGTCATAATGTGCCTCATTATCTATGTATCCAGAATGTGTTCTATGACAAAGAACATCGGCATCAGCATGCTAGGCTCATCATGTAGCACTAAAACTATGTAAAACATTATCAGGTTTTCTAGCTTAGCTAACCAGACAGTTTATTCTTTTATTCCGCTCTCAACATAGTTCGAGTTTATCTTTAGTCCCCAGTGTGGATTGTAAGTGATAAGGGAAGTAATTAAGTTTTCGTCATGTAAGCCATTCTAAAATTTTGAAATTTTTTTATTCCCATTTTCAGATTCGTCTTCAACTTGAGACTCTGTTGGCAGAGAAGGCGCGACTAGCTCATGAGAATTCTATCTATGCACGTGAGAATCGTTTCCTGAGGGAGGTTGTTGAATACCACCAACTCACAATGCAGGATGTTGTATATCTGGATGAGAGCACTGAAGAAGTCACTGAAGTTTACCCTATCAAAGTACCTTCATTACCCAATATGAACTCTGTGCCTGCTACATCTATTGCGTTGTCATCTGAGGCATTTCTTGACGCTAGTCTGCGACTAGCTCGGAATATACCTGTTAACCCTGTGCCACCCCCCTGAGTTTGCTGAGGCTTCTCAGAATTCTACCTGGCCAAGCTCTAGAGCTCAACTTTAGATTGCAGAGGATGCCATGTATGTATCATACTTTCTATATTGGCTCGATTCACGTGTAGTGTGTGTTTGTATATCTTTCTTATGAAGAATTGAGATGTTAACAATAGTCTTTGGTTCCCCTTTCCAATTTTATTATGACTTCTCTTTTTTAATTTTTGGTGGAACCAAAATATCCTCTATATCCTTTCTATGGTATGTGAAGATAAGTCTTTTGGGAATTTGTGGTTGAAATTTGAAGTCCGTTCCTTATAATGCAGGCAGTTAGGAATGTGCATGATACTCGGATTCGACAGGTTTCGATCAAATCTTATAAGATTGTTTTTTTAATTTGGATTCATATTTAGGATGGAAATTTTTTACTTGAGATAATAATATAATTATTCTTTATATATTTAAGATTTTTTTTTTAATTCGGATTAGGTTTAGGATGAAACTTTTTAACTCGAGATAATAATATAATTATTCTTTTGTATATTCAGGTATAATTGTAATAATATTTTTCTTTTTCCAATTAGATTTTTATTTTATTGAATAAAAATGGTATTCTTTTTATATATATTTGCATCAAATTGGATGAGAGTTTTTATTTCAAAAATTAAGTCGAATTTTGGATGAGTAGAACCTCTCTAAATCTGAATCAAGTGATAAATGAAGAGATATAATATATCTACATTTTCTTTTTATCATAAGATTAAATTTAAATTCACAAATAATACAATACGAGTAAAAAATTTCTCTTTATTAGTTAATATATCAACCATTTATAAATTTAGAAAACAATGAAAACATGTGTAAATCAGAAGAGTGGTAGCTAATCATTTTTTAATACACGTTATTATTTATTGATACTTATCCTTTTATAAGATGCTAAAATAAGTAAAAATAATTAATATTTAAGGCTAAATTTCAAAATTATGTACCAATCTCTAATAAAATATGTGGATCTTTTTTATCAATAATATCATAAGTAATTTGAATGACAACTTTATTCAAGTGTAATTGCACTAATAAAAATTATATAGTACAATTTTTACTTAATATTTTTTTAAATCCACATTCACACACTATATTGTTAATTTTATAATTGTTTAATTAAATAAACTCTTACTTATCACTAGACTAAACAATATATTTTTTACTCTTTTCATTTACTGCATACACAACTATTATACTTGCTAGACAAACTGCTACATTCGTTTATTTTTAAGAGAAAATAACCGCAGTGATCAAAAATCCCAAATAATATACGATTTTGACCAATTTTTTTTAGATTTACAAAAATGACCAACAAAATCGCAATGTGATCTCTAATTCGTATTGCGATATCTACTATCGTAAATTCGCGTTGCATTTCGCGTTGCGATAGTTGAAAATCGCGTTGCGATTTTTCATTTCGCGTTGCGATAGTCTACAGTTGTCGTTGCGATTTTCCAAATTCGTTGCGAAAATTCGTTGTGATAGTTAAAAAAAAAAATGTTTCTTAATAATTTTCTCTAAAAAGATAGTATCCGCGCGAACGTGTCGAAGACACGTATTACCACGACCACGAGACGGCGGCGGCGCGCGAGATGGCGGCGGTGGCGGCGCGCGAGAATCCCCCTTGTTCTCTTTCACTCAACAAGGAAGTGAGAAATTCAAGTCTTAAATACCATTCCTAATAGTGTTTCCAATACTATGTGAGATTGAGCATTACCAACTATAGAATCTTAGTTCCCGACCACCCTTTTTTTACTATCGCAACGAATTTGGAAAATCGCAACGACAACTGTAGACTATCGCAACGAATTTGGAAACTATCGCAATGAAAACTTGGACTATCGCAACGCGAAATGAAAAATCGCAACGCGATTTTCAACTATCGTAACGCGAAATACAACGCGAATTTGCGATAATGGAGATCGCAATGCGAATTAGAGATCACATTGTGATTTTGTTGGTCATTTTCGTAAATAAAAAAAAAAATCAAAATCATATATTATCTGAGATTTTTGATCACTGAAATTAATTTCTCTATTTTTAATGTATTAGTTTATCTGTAGGTTGAAAACCGCACAGTAATGTTTTCTAAAAAATGATTATATCGTAAATCGTAACATTCCTTTCCGGTGCTGTAATGATCATTTCCGTTATTTTTTTCCGAAACATTATTATTGGTGTTGTTATTTTATGAAATTGAGTATAATTAAATCGAAATAAAAATTTTAAACGTGAATTTCCCCAAATTAATATTATCATAGCTCTACCAGTTGGTCTTGATAAAAGTGAAGCGCCGAAGCCCTCGCCTTCTTAAACTAAAGGTGAAGAAGAGAGAACACAGAAAGAAAAGAAAGGGAAATGGAGGAGTTCGAGAAATCACCGGTTCCCTTGCCGGAAGAGACTGGAATGGATGAGAGCGATACTGTTGAAAACCCTGAAACCAGTCAGAAATCCAGCAGCGATTCGGACTCAAGCGATTCAGAAGATGAAGCAGATCAGAAAGAGCAGCTATTAACCCTAGAATACGAGCTTTCCACCAATCATTCCAACTACGATGCCCATGTCCAGGTAAACACTAGTATCTATTGTTCTACCTTGTTAAAGTAAACGTAAACATATTTTCCTACTACTAACAATGCTAGTATTTCTTGTATTTGTTTGATTCGGTTTCACAGTACATAAAGCTTTTGAGGAGAAGTGGTGAAATAGAGAAGCTACGGGAAGCAAGGGAAAACATGAATACATTGTTTCCACTGAGTCCTGAAATGTGGATAGATTGGGCCAAAGACGAAACTTCTCTTTCGAGTGATTTGAATTTCGAGTCAGTCCAGAAGCTTTACGAATGAGGTATCTCTGAGTATCTGTCTATCCCCCTTTGGTGTGAGTACCTCAATTATGTGCAAGAACATGATCCAAAAGTGCGTGATTGTTCAGCCGATGGGATTTCAAAGGCAAGAAATCTGTTTGAGCGAGCTGTTACAGCTGCTGCTCTGCATGTTTCTCAAGGCTCTCTAATATGAGATGCATATACCCAATTTGAGCAAGCTATTTTACTAACTATTGACCAATCCGACACCCAGGTCTGAGCATGATACCATTATCTTTACACTTAAATACTTTCTCATAAAGAACATGTTTACGTGTTGGACTGCTGATTATCCATTTATTTTTTTACAGGCTAAAGAGAAACAGGTCCAGCGCATACGGAGTATTTCCATCGCTACTTGTCTATTCCCCTTGCTAACTTGAAGTCCACTCTTCTAGCCTACAAGGCATGGGAGGTTCAGCAAGGAAATTCCCTTGATGCTGAATCCGACAATGATTTAGAGATTTCTTCCCATGTTGCTTCAGCTTACCAGAAGGCAGAAGAGATGTACAATGCCCGTGCACATCTTGAAGAACAGATTACTAGACAGGATGTATCTGAGTCTGAAAGATTTCAACATCACCTGGTATATATATCATACTCTAAAATATACTTTGTGTGGAAATTCATTATTCGGTTCTAACTCTGATGTCAAATTTGGTTCTTCATGTATGCTTCAGACAGTCTCTCCTTTCTTATGAGACTAAAATATTTGTTTTTCCTATTTACCCTATTGTAGGGTTGGCATTAATGTCATTCTGCCCATTTGAATTGAATTATAATTCATTTGTTGCAGAGCTACTTAGATTTGAAAAATCCTTTGGTGATCCAGCCCAAGTTCAGATTCTGTACGAGCGTGCCATAACTAACTTTCCTGTATCAAGTGATATTTGGCTTCATTATACACGCTATCTTGATAAAACCTTGAAGTTTCCTGGTTTTACTTGCTATTATTCAATTAAACATCAAAGTTATTGCTTTTACTTGTTACAAGTTATAATTGAGTTTGCCATACTAGACATTATTTTTCTTTTCTTTTTGTCCCTTTAGGCAGGAAATGTTGTGAAGGATGTTTACTACAGAGCTACGAGAAGCTGTCCCTGGGTTGGAGAACTTTGGGTTCGATATTTGCTGTGTTTGGAGCGTGGCCTTGCTTCTTGAGAAATAGATATCTGATGTATGTTGTGTTTTTCAGAGATTATTTCTTCCTCTCTCTCTCTGGACTACATAATAAAGCATCAAATAGTTGTTCAAAGTTTGATCTTTAGTCATCATTTAAGAACTTATAGCTCCTGCATATAATACCTGAATCTTGGCTTGGAGCTTTAGGAAATTCTTAAAAATCAATTGAACAGGGAAAAATGAGAGTGCGTTTTTTCTTGTGCCGGTCAAGCATTGCACTAAGATTTTATTAAGAGCTCAAAAGAAGAATATGAAAATGTGGAGAGCATTTATGCAGGCCTATCAAAACAAAAGTTCAATTGCAAAATCCTGTGTGCTACCCTGTGAGCATGCTTTTGTCACTGTGCTATCATCGTGTTATATAATCTTATTTCTGCATCCAAATATACTGAATGTCATCACTCTTTCATGGTGGCATTAGAGCTGTTTGATTTCGGCAGTTTGGCTTTAGAACTATCAGTTGTCTATTATAATTTCAGGATTTTTTAAAAGGAAATTTCCTTCACTTGTATGTAATGAGAAATGTGTAAAATGCTTTAATTGTTTCATGGTTCTATTTACAGCATTTTAATTGATTTTTTAAAAAAAATTATTTCAGGTGTTTGAGAAGTCCCTCAAATGCACATTTTCGACCCTTGAGGAAGTATGGATTTATTTATTTATCTATGTTGTGAATTCATTTGATATTGTTCATGTGTTGAATACTTCTAACCTCTTTTGTTTGTTGTAGTACCTTGATTTGTTTCTCACCCGAGTAGATGGCTTGAGGCGTAGGATTTCATCAGCTAGTGGAGATGATGTGTTGAGCTATTCAATGATTAGGGAATCTTTTCGGGTCTGAATGTTTACTTTTTCATTTCCATATTTAAAATGAATTTCATGGTTAAGGCAGTGTGATTGACGGTTATCCAACACAGTAATGCTATGTTTGGTAGGAGTTATTTATTCCTCATGTTTTAGTACATGAGTTAGTAATAAACTAACTTCACTTGGTAATTTTTCACATGACTTGGTTTGAACAAAGAAAAGGAATACATATTGTTTATTTTGAATAGGAGTGTTAATGTAACCAAACTTAACATAAGTACACTGCCTTGTTAAGAGTCATTGTAATTGTATGTAAAAGCACTTTGGAATTCTTATTCTTCATGATGTATGAGCTTGTAATACCTTCCTTTTATATGCTTGAGTTTTACTCTATGTGGCCTTCCTTTCAGCAAGCAGCAGATTATTTATCACCACACATGAAGAACACCGATGGTTTATTGCGTTTGCATGCTTATTGGGCCCATTTAGAGCTGAAATTGGGAAAGGATTTAAATGCAACTCGTGGTGTTTGGGAGAGCTTGATTAAAAGCTGGTTTGACTATTCATAGTTTGCATGCATTATTCTATAGTTATTTTAACAACCTGATGTGTCACGGTTTTATGAATGCATCTATCTCTGCAGTGGTTCAATGTTGGAAGCATGGAAAAGTTATATATCAATGGAAATTGAATTAGATCATATAAATGAAGCGAGGGCCATATATAAGAGATGCTACAGCAAAAGATTTAGTGGAACAGGTTCAGAGGTATGTTTTCCATGATTATGTAAATATAATTTGTATTTGTAGGACATGGTTATCTTCAAATGTCTGTTTTCTTCAGTTTTATGGGTTTGTTAGGGGGGAAATGACTGTTTTCCATTTGTGCAGCAAATATATATGTTTTCTTGCTTTTTTCCATCTTTTTTCTATTGCTACTGTTGACTGCAATTCTGAAGTGAGAGAATATTAAGCATGGAGTAGCATTAAAATTTAGATCATATATCGTTTTTCATACTTATTGATTAGTTTAACTTATTTGCTTTTGGGGAAGGTGTTAAGGTGCTCGCAATAAAATGGTTGGGGAATTGTTCCTACTCTTGCTTTGGCCTGGAGCTAGAAAATTAAGGCTCATTGGGATTAAATGTCTAAAGTGCCAGAATTGAAGGGAAAAGTTAATGGAAGTTTTGTGCTGTAGATGAATTGGAAGAAAGATTGTTTTTCTTTTCTATCATATGGAAGTGAAAAATGTCTCTGTTTGAAGATTGACATGTTCTATCTCTAGCTGTTAGTATGATACAGAAAAATTATTATGCTAGACTTCTTGTTACAACCGTGTGTTTGTGATTGATAATTCAGCTCATCAAAGGGAGACTGAAACCTTTCAGCTCATCAAAAGGAGACTGAAACCTTTCAGCTCATCAAAAGGAGACTGAAACCTTTCAGCTCATCAAAAGGAGATTGAAACCTTAGGATTCATTAGAGAGACCCAATCTCTTTAGGGTTATTGATAAAATGCTACTTAGCATTTTTTATTTCTGGTGTCCTTTTAAAGGACTAATCTTATTACATAAATATAAAACCTAATTTACAAGGGAAATAAACTGGCTAAATTAAAAGCATAATCAGGAAACTTGAGGAAAGAAATAGATCTCCGTCTAAGATTTAATTAACTAACCCAAATTAACGGCATTCCCTAACATGGATTTGGTCTATAACATACTCCCCTCCTGGAGAAAGAGATTGTCCTCAAGCTCGAAGTCAAGGTGAACTTGGCGAAAGGCCTCTTCCATTACTAAAACTCAAAACCGATGGGGGTAATAGACCTGCACAAACTTATTTTCATTTAGCAGGACCATTGAATAATTCTCTTCAACATTCACCAGTGCTCAATATTTTCAAAATAACCCATTAAACTTTTCTGATATGGAGTTGCAGTTTTTTTTTTTTTTGGAGTGGTTACAAAGAAAATGACAAGTTGTTAGATATGAGTTTAGGAGGGTTTAATGGATAAGACAAGCAAGTGAAGTCGGTTGTGTCAGGGTTTTTGTCAAGGGGTTTAGGAGGTTTTGGTGCATATCGTAAGAAAGAGAGTACGGTAGAGGCTGTCATGTTTTGATTTTGTTCATCTACCAAATTAATGGCCTTTCATAACATATATTCGGCCCGTATCACTTGTTTATGCATGTGTATGGGTACAAACTTTATGAGATAGAGCTACAGTTCAGCTTAAGACCATACTTCTAATATTCTTCTATCATATGGTTCCTCTCATCACTACAATCTTTTTGAAGTTTAATTGATTTTATCTCTCAATTGATAGAGCCAGCCAACAACCTATATTGGTCCTATTCACATCATTTTACAGTTAGTCTTACTAGAGCGTCTACATTAACTTATAATTTTTTTACTTATTAGTTTCTAGGATGAATGTATCTTATGGGATTGTAATTTGTGTTGGTTCTTTTAGGCTGTAATCCTGAATTTTCTTCAGTTGCTCTATAAATATCCTGTAAATTAGATGATATATTCCTTCCTAAAAAACAGAATCATTCAGGACATCTGCCAGTCTTGGTTGCGCTTTGAGAGGGAATTTGGAACACTTGAAGATCTCAACCGTGCTGAGAAAAAGGTACTAATTTACTATTTTTCCCAGTTCTTCTGTTCATGTTCTTTTGCTTCAGTTAGTTAACACCATTCCTTTTATGATTGTGGAACTCCGCTTCCTTGTATATGGGTTGAAATCAAGTCAATAAATACATAGGACACAGTAGGAAAATAGACTCTGGAAGATGTCAGGTATTTTGTATTTTGGCTAGCAACCTTTGTTATTTTACATCACGCCTGTTTTGAAAAGAATATGTAGTTTACTCAACAAAGAAGCAAATATTGTGTTAGTTCATCTTCTAAAAAACTAACAGGATGCTTATTGTTGAGTAAAAGTGGAAATCCTGAGTCACCTGCTGTCTCCATCAATTGCCCTAATACTGCTTTAGTGATCATCATGCCGACTACCATTTCTAGTCTTGTCTACTTTCTAAAGCTGTTATCCTGATTATCCATGTATACTATTTTTTTTATTGCATTCACTATTCTTTGACTAGGTGGGAGATTTACCATTAGGTGTGAAAAGAATGATAGATCTGATTAATTTTGTTATGCTATCATTAGTAATTAAATGTTGCAAAACATGGTTCTATTATCAATGAAATTTTCTACTATTTAGTCTTGAACAACTGTATTTTATTTACATTATTGTGTTTCAGGGGGATGTTTATCAAAGGTACACTATGCCTTTAAAATATTTTTCATTGGCTTTACTTATTGAAAAGTTATTAGACTTGACTATATGTTTTCAGTACTTCTATTTCCTGCTTTTAATTTGATGTCATTAGCTAGTAGTGTTTACTTGATATTTGTTGGTCCCAGTTTTGTCTGTGAGTGAGTTATGCTCATGAAGCTTCATGATTAGTTAATCCAAATCTATGCAAGTACCCTTTCTGCTGCCTTTATGAAACTAACTTTCTTGAGTCTAAAAAAGGCATTTTAGTACATTTTAACATCCTCTGGTAGTTCCGACTGTATGTCTTCACAATATTTTATTGAAAAGAAAAGGTGTAATCTGGTTGATGAATAGCCCTGCCTGCGTTTATCAAAGTTAGAATTACTCTTGTTTTCTAATCCATTTCTCAGGTTACTCCTCGTCTTGAGGAGCTACAGTTGTTTAGGTTACAGCAGGAATCTAAATGTTTCACTGGAGCAACAGATCAAAGAGAGCAGACCCTTAAGAACACGGCTCGTGCTCTTGATAAGAGGAAATCAGGTTCAAGTGCAATTGATGATCAGTCTCCAGCAAAGCGGAAAAAATATACTTCGCAAAATAAGAAATTGCACAAGAAAGAGAACACTCAAAGGCTGAACTTAGCTGAAGTAAAGGACGGGGAAGAGGAAAAGGGCAAGGTTGAGGAACAAGTAAATGAGAAGCATATTAAAGACACTAATCCTAAATCCAGGTTATATACAGATCAGTGCACTGCATTTGTATCAAATATGAGCATTACGGTAAGACGGGTAAGTGGAACCCTTTATGCTGCTCTTCATCTGCTTTTTCTTCTTTCAGATTAATGTATAGATTTGCCTTTTCCTCGTATTGTTTACCATCGGATGATGACAAGTTTATATTTTTGGATACCAGGCGAAAGATGAAGAGCTACATCAATTCTTTAGTGATGTTGGTGGGGTCACTGCAATTCGAATTCTGCTTGACAAGTTCACTGGCAAATCAAGGGTTTCTCTCTCTCTCTCTCTCTCTCTCTCTCTCTCTACCCTTGACTGTGTGTACTTGCGCACACATGCAGGTGCTTTGTTATTTTTGTTTTTGTACTGAACATGCTACAATAGAAATGAGAAACTGGCCGCATAAGTGCTTATAGAAGTCATTCTGGCATTCAGGCTGGAATTTTATATTGTATTGGACAGTTATATGAGCAATTTTTACTGTCTCCTTTGGTTGATTAGTCCATGGCACACTTGGTTTGTGGTGACGTGAAATATGTTTAGATAAATGTTGAAAGAAGAAAAATATGCACAGGTAGATACACATTTGTATGTAAAATTGCTGAACTAATTCTATCAAAAAAAAAAATTGCTGAACTAAAAATTTAGTGCTTAGCGTTTAGAGCTCAAGTTAATCGAAATTTTTTAACTAAAAGCACCTAGGTCTGGTTCCTATTTCCTAATTTGGGTCAAATTCAAGTAAGGCATGAATTTGAAGCTATCTATAAGTCATACGATCAGTAATGATGTTTTAGGCCTTTATTGAATTTTGAAGGAACTGGCATATGTGGATTTTGAGGATGAAGAACACCTTGCTGCAGCTGTAGCGAAAATAAGCAAATGTTGCTTGGAAAGAAGTTGAGTATTGCATGGTCAAATCCAAAGCAACGCAAGAGAGAATCTTTTTCTCGTACTGCACCTGGTGGTAAACTAAGGGTTATGGATTTTACTCTTTCCCTGCTGTCTTTGGACCACGTTCTTTTCCATATCTTTCTTTTACAGTTACAATCATGCACTGATCCATATACCTCTCAAGTTATTGATACAGATGCCTAATTTTTTAAAATGTATTACGAACCTTTTCAATATGCACTGTGTTGTATGCACAAACGTTTACATTTGAAATTGAGCGTCCTGAAAACTTGTATGCTAGTTAAACATTGAAAATAAAATGTCTAGTAGGAAAGATATGCTGAGAGGAAGAGGAAGCAGGGTTGAAAGTGAAACATGTAATTACACATCTTAGTCATGTTGAGCTGATTCAGATTGCAACCCTTTTCTTTTGAAGGTTATTATTTACAAGGGGAGGTATTCTCTTATACCTTCCTTTTCTCTTGTTTCCCTTTTTTTTGTTGACAATATAGGAGACTGGGATGTGCTTAGTATTCAATAGAAAAAAAAAGAAACAAGTCCTTGAATAATTGTAAAAACTCCCTCCATATTTGAAAGATGAAGGATTTTTTTCTCCTTGACAGAGCCTTGCACTAACGAGTTTTTAGGATTAGGATTGGTGAAACCATTAGCACACTGGTATATATGTGTGTGTCAGAGACATGTTCAGACATGAGTGGGGTATGGTTCTCTAAATATATGTAAAAAAAACTTAGGAAAACTAAAGTGTAAACCCTCTGCGTCTGTTTGTTTTCATTCTAGTTTTACAATTATAAAGTTTGTTTTTTAGTTTTTCTGGTTTGCTGTATCCCTGTTACATTATAGCTTGCTTGGTTAGATTCAAATGTGTCTAAACTGAAATTATAGATGATGCTAGCAGCCAAGGTGGAAGGCACGGGAGTTCTGTATCTAAAGAATCTGGTGAAAACTCACTGGGATCTCGAGCACCTCGTGTACCACAATCCACTGGTCGTAAGCGTGACGATAACATCCAACTCAAGGGGAAGAACACATTTGCAGTGCCAAGAAATGTTAAAGCACTTGGATGGACTGCTAACAAACCAGGAACTAGGACAGAGGAAGATGAGAAGCCAAAATCAAATGATGAGTTCAGAAAAATGTTTATGAAAAGCTGAGGTTCATTCTCCTGTTTCTGACTAAGTTCATGCTTAGAATGTTACCCTTGTACAAATTTTGCTAGGAAATTAGTAATTTTTGCGATAAATTAGTTGTGGGATTTTATGGACCTATTTATGGTGATATGTCTGGTCGAGGCTGCTAGACCTTCACATATAAATTGATAGAATTACATTTGGTTCTCAATGTCTTAACTCAGCCTATCCTTGGTAATGGCTGTATATTGGCTTTTTCTTTAATGTTTACACCATTTTTCTAAGCCTTTCTACAGCGTCGGAGAAGGCTTGAAAAAATCCAACTTTCTAAAGGAACTGAACTGGCGTTGCTTTTCAATCATCTTTCTGTTTTGTGTTGCTTAAAATTACATCCCGTGATCGTAGAAAAAAATTAATGACTAATATTGTAATTAAAATTCATTCCTTTTTACCCATAATCTCTCCATTTTCACTCCCCGTATCTGTAAGTGGTAATTATAATCCCACCTACTGATTTCTTTAATCCAATAAATATAAATAAATAAGAGCAGTCTAGGAAAGGAAGGTACTAGAAGTATTAAAACTTAAATCTCATATAGGTTGGATGTGAGGGCGAATCACAAGAGGTGCAACTTTATTAAAGGCAAAATCATATTTACGACTGGAGCTGAATGCGGACTTGGTACAAGAACAAAGCAGCAGCGACATTGTTACAAACTCCATCACAATGAACGTACCTATGTTACCAACTACCGTGTTTCACTGATCAAATACAGCTTTTGTCCATCATTAATTAAATCTGCATCAAGAATTTTGCCTCCATCTTCAGACAATATACAAGAAGCACCTGCAACGTCTAGCTGCTCGGCAGCGATTGTAATAAGCGCTTCCATCGTGTGAGGGATCCATAACACAATTCCAGGTCTCCTCTGTTCTTTAGCATCCCAAGGATGGAAAGGAAAAACCGTGCACTTCTTCGGGTGTATTTTATCTGGTATTACCCACAAATTCTATCATTAGTGCACAAACAGAGATTACTTGAGCAGCCATTAGACTGCAACCTAGATGTTCTAATAGAAACCAAACCGGGTTTAATCGTGCAACCTAGATCTTCTAATAGTTAGCAACCACTATTAGAGACAAGTTCTGACTATTGAACTGAAATAAATCAAACAAAGGTATGATCAGTAAATGGCATGGGTCATGTGAAATGCAAATTAGAAGGCGGTCTCACAGGTCCAGCAATACCTGTGATTTCTTTCGAACAATAAAGCAATTCTGATAATTGAGTAGATTTTGCATCTTCCAGTAGCTTGATCAAATTCTTGTTGCCACACATCCGGCCTTCATCAAGTGGAGTGTTTCCCCATCTGCATAGAAAGACATTATTGTTGAAAAATACTCATGATATTGAAGTAATGCAAATTTCTCTGACTTATGTCAGTACCCTCCAAACACGTAAAAGGAAAATAAGAGTACAACATTTCGGTAAACCTATAAAAGCAATTATATTGTGATATTTTAAATGCTGATCCAAATCCAGTTACAAACCAGACAGTATAGCTAGAAACAAATAACCTCAGATGAATAAGCTAAACATGGTCACGTTCATAAAAACCAAGTGAAATCAATGTCCTAAATGTACCTGTCTGTGGTAAAAACACTAGCACTGGCCTCTATCAAAAGCTTGGCCATCAAATATAAGCCCTCAGAAGCAGCTACATGAAGTGGGGTTCGGTGGTCGTAATCTCTGGAGTTAGGATCAACTCCGTTAGACAAAAGCCTTTTCAAAAAGTCTGAGTCCCCTTTTGAAACTGCTGTGCACAGAAAACTACCAGCATCGTCTATGTTTAAGGAAGCTCCTTCTTTAACTAGCAAAGCAGCAACGATTTCGTTTCCATTTTTTATTGCTTCTAGCAAGGGTGTATTCCCAAACTTATCTATAGAAAAAATTATTATCGCAACAATAGGCCAAATGATAAAGACTACAGATTTAATTAACCAAAGTAACATTTTAAAATATTTATAAAAGATAATTACCTTTAATATTGATGTCTACTGAATGCCGAATAAGGAAACTTGCAATATCTTCATATCCTTTCAATGCAGCAAGATGCTGTTCAAAACAGACATTTGGTTTCAGATAAGAGCTTTATTTCTCCCAATCGTCATTTGTAATGTGTAGCTAAAGAGCGGAAAAATTTAAGGAATTGATTTGAAACCAAATGTAACCGAGAGTTCTGGGGATTTTATGTCATGTCAGAATAACAAACCTTCTTAAGGATGATAAGAAGCATAGAATATGGAGAAAATTCAATGGACGTGAATAGTTATGACCTAGGTAACTCATTTTAGCTATTTCCAAAAGAAGTAAAACATAGTCTACAGAAATTTTAGAAGTAAATTTTGATTTTTGAGTGTTAAAATTGCAATGAAACGTGCTTTTCTGATGCTTTTACGATTTTACCATATTTTCCATCTGTTTTGATCTTCACTACTTGTGCAAATACATGATTTCCTTTAATATTAAAGAAAGATATAAAAGAAAACAAAGCTTCAAGTGCTAAAAATGCCTATAGGTATATTACCATAGTAAGGACAATTATTGCAAACTATCTAACCTCATAGCTTTATGCCAAAAAAAATGAAGTAATTATAATTATATGGAACTAAAACAATTTTAGCACAAACTAACAGTAACACAAGTGCTAGCAATATATAGAAGCATCTATGCATGATATGAAGATCTCATCAAAGTTGAATTAAAATAGAACGTATTTGAAAACCAACCTAAAGCCTTCAGTTAAAATAATTATACTTACCAAGGGAGATCTTCCATCGTAATCCGTTTTGTTAGGATTAGCTCCGGCTCGTATCAAACTTTTGAGTTGATACAAATCTCCATTATATGCAGCACAATTCACTCTCAAAGCTAGTTCAGCTTCTTGTCTTCCAATGTGAAATGATATGTCTGATTCCAGTTGCTTAACTCGAAGATTGGATTCTTTTCCCTGCAATTTTAGGTTGTCAAATTTACATTTAGTTAACTTTCTGATCAAATGGTAATACTCAGCCTGTGTACACTTTTCTATGATAAAGCCATTAGAGCAGACACGGGGTATAAGCAATTGAGATACGAGGCAACTGGATTACCTCTAAAAGATTGTTCAAAATTTTCCTCCCATCATAGAAATATATCTCGAGAATATTTGAAAATGATTGTTTATCCAACCGCAGGAGCCTACATAATTCACAAACCCGAACAGTATCAGGCTGAAGGGTGTTGCAGAGTATAGAAATTTCTCCAAATGAGCTATTGGATTCCAGAAGCGAAACAGTCTCTTCTGATCCATCTTCCCCTATAGCAACCCCCTCCTGTACAAAGATACTGTGGGTTAAGCATCATTTAATCAATTTGTTAGAACATTGAGATCACAATTCAATGAAACTATACAGGGGGCTGAGCAGAAAATGTATAACAAAGTATTGAACAATGACAATTACAATCAGAAGGGCATGATGAACCACCAATCCCAGAAGCTAAACACCAAGTGGAAAGACCAGCTTCTTCAGTTAAAAAAATACATAAATATGTTACATGCTTGCATGAATATATATTCATATATATAAAAGGCTTAAGAGATATCTAGGGATAGGTAGAGGTAGGGAAATAAGATATAAATGTATTTTATTTACCAGCACAATAAAAACATAACGAATCATACCAGCACACCATCACAGACAAAATAAAGTTGATCTACAACATTTCCCTGTTCCATTATTACTTCTCCTGGGAGAAAAAATTCTTCATGAAGTCTAATAACCTGCAAGATCAAAAGAATCAAGGGTTAACTTTATATCTAAAAGTTTTTTCTTTCTTTCTTTTCCTCCTCTTTATGTAATTGTGAAGGTGGAATGTGGCTGCAGCATTAGACAGGGCAAACATTTTATGACTTCTTTTTGGTGATATAAAAAGATTATTGAGTGCAAGAGACCAAATTTCTTTGAAAAAAGGATATCATACTGCTTCAAATAAGCATTTGGAACAGCAGTCCTGACTTACTATATCTAAAAGCAGTTATTCGAAGATATAATTGCATGCATAGACGCTTAGGCCATATGCAAATGCTTTCTTCAAGGCCCAGCATTCCATGTAATATTAGCGTAGAGATGTTGAATCATGTCAACTCTCTTTTACAGAACATGATGCAGAGTAAGTTCAATACAACCAAGCACAAATGAGTTTTGCGGCTTGCGCAGCACATATGAACCATTTATACCAAATCAGAAGCAACGGAAAAAAATGTATTTTTAAGCAACTTGCATTTATTTGAGAACAGAAACCGACTTACCATCTGATTAATAAACTCAGAAGAGCATTCCTTGAAAAGAGGAACTTTCTCAATGTATGACATATATAAAGATTGGGAAATCTGCAAAACCACAAACAAAATAGAAACCATTGAATGAAAAGCATAAAAATAAATGTATTGAGCACTAGCGAAAATACTAATGAAGAGAACATCCAGAAAAATATATATATGATTTTTATCTTTATCTATATCATTATAATTTAGAGTTTATTCACGTTGCAATATTTCACTCACAAGAGGAACAAAGGTTTTGCAACAGTTTAATTTTTGATTGGAACAGCAGATCCATGGATTAATCTAATAATTCAAAAACTATTATCAACGTAGAAGAGTGATATAGTTAATTTTGCATTGAAACAAGTTAATAACCTAATTTATTATTATAAAAAAATGTTGTTTAACAAGAACAGATTGAGATAGGTGCTTCCACTGAAATCTGATATATCGTAAACACCACATCTTAATAAGGAGATGGTTTTGTGTGACCTTACATCCTTACAAAATTATTGATAAGAGATATTAAATAAATGCTAGAATATTGTTTATGATTCCTTTATTGATGTGAAGAATATTATAATTATTGATCTCATTAATGAGTGTCCTTGACTCAATAATATGACCACAGTTTCTGTGCCTAGAGCTCCTTTCACCCTACAGGAGCTCAACACACATCAAAGGAAGTGAGGACAAATTTTGGTGTAGATCTTCTTCAAACATTATCTCCACACTAGGTCATGGTTGCTTCCTCATTAATCTCAGTTAACAAGTAGGCAAGAAAGGAAACCAATGGACAATGAAAAAGAAATCTTCAAAAAGTTTTGTGGGAATTTCGCTGCATAAGAGAGGATATTTTACCTCTCTTAGTAGCTGGTTATCCAAGATTGGAACTTTGGAATTTTCTTCATTTACATTGATATTTTATGTGCTAACAGAAATATAAAAGGAACAACAGACTGCATACTATTTATATGTTACCTTAGCTCGGATAGAGATGGGAATATCCTGAAGAACAGAAGCCTCAATGTATTGACTTTCATACTGTAAGCGCATGTGGCCTTTGATCTGATTACGGAGACCCCTATCAAGTCTATTTCTGTTCATATACTTAATAACATCTGCCATTTTATCCCTAAACTTCTCGGTCTTGGATCCTTTTACAATTAACGCTGTCATGTTACCAATCAAATAAGCACCAAGAATCATGTCAAAGGACACATATATCATTATGAATATCATTTCCCTCAAATTGACCGCATGTATGTCTCCATAACCTGTCACAGAGGACAAGATTAATTAAGAATAGATTTAAAACCAACGGAAAAAACACACACACACATGCTGCAACAATAATAGTATAGCACATTACAATTTTAGATAAATATAGATAAACCTGAAAATTGTTTCTCTTTGATGATATACATTACATACAAGCTCCTCATATTCAGCCGATGAGACCTTGGTTGAGTTATTGATATAATTTAAAAAATTGTACAAAATTGGTTGAGTTGTAGATTAAAAAAAAACTTATTCAAGAAAATACACTTTCAACAAGAAAATTGTTTCCCCGTAAGTTATATGTTTAGTTCCCATCCGTAGAAACCTAAAATCACTTAGGAAATAAAGAAAAACAAGTAGAATCAGTTCAGTAATTTACAGGATAGAGTAAATTAAACAAACAGGTTACTTACCGACGGTCGCCACTGTGACAATAGCAAAATACAAGGAAGTTGTGTACCGCTTCCACAAATCAATTTCTCTGAAGTTTGAATAACTATAATCTCCCAACTTTAAGCTTCCAATCCATGTGTACCCCTCTTTTTCCGGAGGCAGTGTAGTAGCCAAGTAGTAAAAGATACAAGCTGCTGTATGTGTGCAATAGAGTTCAACAAAAATAAGCTTTATAATCCTTGTAAAAAGGTAATTAATCCGTATATCCTTCTCCATCCTTCGGAAGAAATCAGTGACTTTGTGGACCCGATATAACCCAATCCATAAGTGATACCTCACTACTTTTCTTCCACAAGCCTGCTTGAAAAAAATTTCTCAAATGGTTATTATGGAAGCTACAACTACAAATTTACAGCTCGAAGTAACCATTTAACCCTAGAAAATTCTGCCATATCCATGTTTCATTTTCTAAAAAGATCTAATTCATGGTAATATGGTATGTTAAGCTGTCCAAGAGGAATTCTATTTAGGGAACAATACCATGATCTTGTTCATAACTCTTTCAAGGGCATATATGTTAAAAAGTTTATTACCATGCATATAGAAAATTAGAAATTATTTGAGGGTCAAATATAAGGATCAGAACCTTTTATATAGGTCAAATATAATTTCAGAATTAGTACATGTGTACAACAGCTTTCATAATTTGACCTTTGACCATTATGGTCGCCATGCAAATGTAATCAGAATAAACATTTAATTTCTCCATGAACACAAAAACATTTATTTTGTAAATATAATTTTTTAAACAGCAGATATACCTAAATTTGTTGATAGCTTATACATGCTCAAATTCATATGCAAAGAAAAACATTACCCCACAAGTTCTTCATTATTGAAAGAGTTGTTACTATATGTATAAACCTGAGGAAATGAGGCGTAGGTGGGGGAAGAAAGCAATACCTTGTAGATCATATCCCAAGGCATACAGCCAAGTAAATCAATGAGAAAATTAGATTTCAAGTACCTGCAATGACACATAAGGAATACAACCAGCGCAATGCTCAGTAGCAACTCATAGAGAGATTTGCAAGAATACAAGTGTGGGGGGGGGGGGGGGGAGGGACAAGATATATAAAGGCAAGTGCCGACGACATTGGTACTATCTCTAATATACTTTTCTAAAGTAATAATTGGGATGTTGCCGTACAATATAAGCTACATCATAATAAAACAGCTTAAATCAAGGGTATTATTTGCTAAAAGTAGAATCAACTTTTTGAAATGAACAACAGAATTCTGATTATCCTGTGCTTGCTGATTAAGTTTGCTTATCTTGTTGCTATTGGTAAATGCGAGTTGTAAATTTATACGATCATGATTAAGAAATTACATTTCAGAAATCACGAAATAATAGTTCAAATGAAACACGAATTGAAATTAGACATTTGATGAAAAAGGGAAACATAAGAAAAACTAACCGAATAGCAATAGAAGTGGGCTTACAGACCATTCTGTAGGTCTGAGAGTCTCTATAGGCAAGGAAGAAATGCAAAATAATGTCAAGGAGGAAAGCTACTTGTCCAACAATATCTAGTATAAACAGATTTTCCGGCAAACCCCTGAAGAACCCAAACTCCAAGGGAGTAAAGAAGGAAGAGTACAACGCCCATATCTGTATGAACTTGGTCCATGTTCGATACCACCTGCATTTAATATATATAACACATCGATTCTGGGTCATTCAAAAGTCAAAACAACAGTAAAAGAAATAGGATAAAGTAATTTTTAGTCCCTGAATTTGAGATTGTTTTCCAAAATAGTCCTCAAACTTTATTATGATCGATATTAATCCCTGAACTTGGCAACTTTTTTTCATTTTATCCTTTTGATGGTGTGACGCTATAAGATTACATCATGTGAGACACTGTCTTTTTATAATGTGGCAGACTCTAAAAAAAAGAATAAAATGAGCTAAAAATCCAAATTCAAAGATCAATGTGAAACAAAAAATTGAAAAATAAAGTTAGCAAGAGTTACCAAATTGAAGAACTAAAAATTAATTTATCCTTGAGGGAAAAAAAAAAGATAAGTACCCTTTTGGTGCTGAAACAATTTAATAATTGGACGCTAAGTTGTATGTACTTGGTAGGTAAAAGAAAAAAAAAGAGAGGAGAGGATGAATAAAAGTTGATAATATATATCTATTTTTTATTAACCAATCAAGCAAAACTTCAAAATAGCTATTTATAACATTTCTAGAGAGAGAGAAAGAGAGAGGCATTTTATCTCCATTTTATTAATCCTATTTATTTATCACTTTCGTTTATGAATTTCCAATTTTCCTTTTCGGTTCACAAGCATCTATCTATTGGATAATGTCATCTTAATGACGTGGCTTGTACACCTCGCTTGAGTGCTAATGCTGCTTATATCAGAACAATGTCCATGGGCAAAATAAATAAATAACAAAACCTGCTAGCAAACGGTGTGTTTCCTTAAATTAAGCTAGATATAATCATTGGATTGAATTAGAGCAACTCTCTTCCTATAGAACAATTAAACTACTTTTTAATATTTATTTAATTCATTGTTTCATTTAATTATAAGTTTTACATATCTTTCCCTACCGAGCTGCTCTCCCTACTTTATACCTTTATGGCACAATTTTTGTTATATCTTTGTAGTATATTTTTCGTATTCTTTCTCAAACGTTTGATCTTTTTTTTTTTATTTTTTTTTCTCAAAGTTGAATTTGACGACGCTACGATTAATCAAGATGACGCTTATATGTAATTTTGTTGATCTTCCCTGTTATGGACACTCGGATTGAATTTGGATACGTCATTTTATGTTCGTATATAGTTTTTCATGATACTCGACTCTGAATTACGATTGTCAATGGTTTTTCAATAGTTTAATCTCCTTTTGTGATTTATTTGTCGACGCGATCAGATTTGTTCATATCTATTTTTTTCTTCAAGTTTTTTAGTTGAGTTTTTAATATTTTCTATGTATGGTCCTTGTATGATATAAAGTGATTAGTTTCAATGTCATTGGCGGATGCACATGTATTCTTAGGGTGGGCACGTGTCCACCCTGAAATCTGAATTTTATTTAGTTAGTTATCTATTTTATTAATGATACCTACCCTAAAATTTTATGTGTGTCGCCCCATTTAAAAAATTTTACGATGTTAATGTATGTGTGTTCACCCTAAAAATATTTCTAAATCTGTCACTATTCAATATTATAAGAAAATATTCAAATTATATATTTAGTTTACGACGATATAATTGTAAACTTTTATTATAATTTTAGATATTTTCACTTTTAATAAAACTAATTGTTTTTATTTAAAAAATTATAAATGTTGAAAATCAAATATTTAACATATTATTTTTCTCATTACTGATCTAACAGTAGATATTACAGATCTAACAGTATTATTATTTTTGTTTTTACTATGTGATAATATCACAAACATGTTTTATAAGAGAAATTGTATTATATTCAAAGATTCTACTTTTAAAACTCTATTGGAGGGTTCACATCCTAAAACATGTTATTATATTAGACTTTAAAGGAATAATAGTAACGTATATCAAAATTGTAACTATATTTATAGGGTTAAAAGAACGCTAAATAATGAATAGGATAATATTCTTTCCTATAAATGACCGTGCCTTTTAATCCTAGGGGAAAAGAAATTTAAACTCTAATTGAACCCCTTTTTAAAATCTTAGAGAAATATAATTGATCTTTTTTATTCCAATCACAGGCATAACAACTGAAAAAATAATTAAATTGATCGATTATTTGATTATTTTATCATTATCATATGACTCTTATATTTTCAATTTAAACTATTAATCCTATTCTTTATTCCATGTCAATCCCTTAGATTGATGAAAAAAATTAAATTGCGAGAGACGCAAATTTCTTAACAGATATGTAGTGATGAGCCGATAATTTATTTAATCTATCAGAGCATTTAAGTCGGTAATGGCCATGTGATCCAACTTTCAATCAGGCATATATAATTCATAAAAGCACCACTTGTGTAAATTGCACTTAATTTCTTCACTTCATGTGATCCGATTTGGGTTTACATTTTTTCAGGGGTTAGCGTCACAGTCAAACCGTGAGCCGTAGTGGTTATCTCCGATGGACTGTGACAAAAATTAAAAGGAGTTTTAAGTTAAACAACCCCAACAATCCGGCCAAGCACGAACGAGAAAAGGACCTAGCAAAACATTTGAGCCGTCGACTCATGTCAACTTGTTTAAAGTCGAAACAAAGTGACCCACAGAGAATGAAATCCAACTGCAGTACGCCACGCGTAAGGCAATGGCGGAATGACGGATGCACTCCTGTGGCCTCAAAAACTCGATTTCCAACTGTACCGGTTTTTGCTTTCTTTTATTTCATAATTTTTAATAGTTGACCATTTATATACTTTATATCTTATTATAGGAAATTACTTCTAAAGAAATTGATGGCTATTATTATTAGTATTCAAATTCTAATAATAATAGTAGATGAACGGGTGGCTAATAATTTACCTGTTGTCAGGATGAATAGATACGCCGTCTTTGATCCCGTCGAATAACGATTGACGACTGAAGTTCTTCCGAGCACGAGCTGCGGCCAATCCCAAGTCAGCAGCCAGCAGATTAAATCTGCTTCCTCTCGACGCTATGGTTCCTTCTCTAAACTCCTCAATCTCGTACTCTTCCTCATTCGTCATCGGAGCATTCTCATCTCTTACTCTCCTACTCCTGCAATGTCCGCCATAGCAGCCGCGCCAACAACCGATCGAACAGGTTCAATGCATTTCCCTTAATCTATCTACACTATTTTAACTTTCTTAATTAGTTGAATTATTGTTGCATCATATCTCAAATTTGATCAAACAACAACAGTAACAACAAGAAGTCAACAACAAAATAAAATATTTCATCCAAAGCAGAGAAAACACAAATGAAAAGTTAGAACTAATCGTAGACGAAGGATGTTGCTTTTAATAGACGTTAAGATAAAAAGGAAAGGAGAGAAGAACCTGTTGATCTCAGAGGTTGAAATTTTGAAAATTTGTAAAGACTCAGCAACTCCTGAACTTACGAGGAGATTTATATAGATTACTATTTTCAAAAACTCCTGAACTTACGAGCCAACAGATTTCCTTTTATTTGTTTGGGTGTAAAAATAGAGGAGAAGTGGAAGAGCTTTCTCAGTTTGGGGGGGAAATATAGAGTTTGTTGGTATGTAAGGATTTTGGACAATGAGGCCAATCTACAGGTTACCAGAATTTATACACAAAAGCTCTCCCCTCCTTTTGCCTTACCCATAAATAAAACTGAAATAATATAAAAATGGTTACGCCTTTACAAATACAAATACAGCGCCAACGTGTTCGCGCCACCTTAGATGCCCAATTTTATTTATTTATTTTATCTTCTCCCATCATATATTTAATTATCTAAATATTTAAATTTATTAGTATATTTGATAATTATATTATTTTTATAATTAATATAAATATTTAATATTTTTATAAATATTTAAATATTTAACTAGCATAGAATTTTCTAAAATAAGATAGAACCTTTTGAAATTTCAGATAAAATATATTTTTCATGATTTCAGAAAAAGTTTTTTTTTATAAATTTTAAGAAAAGGTTGATTATTGCATATAAGTGGAGTTTAAAAACTCCGTAAATAATAACCAATAAGTGTTGGCTTAAATGGTAAGCTGTTTGAAAGATTTCAAGTTCAATTTATTGTGTATGCAAAACATCCGTGCTAGAGACTTACCCATTAAAGTTAGATATGCAAACCAGGTTGGTCCAAATAATTAAAACGAAGCCTTAGAATCGGAAGGAGAAAAAACTCCATAAACAATGACAATGAAACGTTGCTTAATTGATTTTATTATTATACTGATAGAATATTTAAATTATTTAATTTTTAAAATTAAAAATATTGTATGTTTAAATATCATCGAATTTATGTTCTATTAAATATATTTGAATAAGAAATTTCAAGTAGGAAATTAATTATTATTAAGAACTTTAAAATTTTAAAAGTGATATTACTTTTGAGCTAACAAGTAACAGGGGATTTTAAAATTTACAAAAAACAAATTAAGAAAATATATTTTAGCAACTCAAAACTCTTGTTCAAATTACACATTGACTTTTTAAATCTCTCTTCACTTTTTTTTCGATTCATTTAGTTCCATTGTAAAGTAAAAAAATAAACCTTAAAATACCATATTATTTAATTTAATGTATATTTTTTATATTTTATATTATTAAGATTATGTATTTTAAATATCACTAATTTTTATATTTTTTAAACTTCTAAAATTTTAATAGTTTGTTTTAAAATAATTATTTATCTAAAGAATATAATTTCCAAAAATTAATATTTTATAAATCATTAAAATTTTATAACTTTTCATCCAAATATACTTTTAGGTGTTACCACAGCAATAGTATCAAATTAAAAGTTAATTTAATATTTATATATAACAGAGTTGTTGGGATATAATTTAATGCATTAGATTTATAACTTTTATTCAAATATAAATAAAGGTGTAGCATTTGTGTGTACCATGTTACATCACCATATATATTTATAATATATATATGTGGACACTAATTTTTGCATATGCATATAGTATATATATATATATTACTTAAATTAATACATTTCTTTTTTTTTTCTCTTTACAGACCCATCATTCGTTCCAAGCCAGCAG